GAAAAACTATTATTTCAAGGCCGACCATACCACCACTCTCTCATCTGGCGCTTCTAATCCGAAGTACAGGAACCCAAAGTATCTCTCGATGCTTAATCATTTGAGATTCTGTCTTCCACAGGTTTATCCCAAGTTGGATAAGATCTTGTTTCTTGATGATGACATAGTTGTCCAGAAAGACTTAACTGGATTGTGGGCAGTTGATCTACACGGAAAAGTAAATGGTGCAGTAGAAACCTGTGGTGAGAGCTTCCACCGGTTTGACGAGTACCTAAATTTCTCAAATCCTCATATCGCAAGAAACTTTGATCCAAACGCATGTGGATGGGCATATGGGATGAACATGTTTGATCTTAAGGAGTGGAAGAAGAAAGATATTACTGGTATCTGTCACAAGTGGCAGAACATGGCGATTGTCAGGAATCTTACGTATTTCATTTGCTGCTACATGTTCTGTTCTTTTGCATAGATTTGTGTATGAATTCAGCCACAGCACCATCACCCTTGGCACTTGCTGTTTTCCTTCCTATGAAAATTGGCCATCTGACATAATTGTTTTCCCTTTTTTGCTTCTGTTTCGTTTTTTTTGGTCTTAGAATGAAGACAGTACACTTTGGGAACTTGGAACATTACCTCCAGGGCTAATTACATTTTATGGGCTGACACATCCACTACAAAAGTCATGGCATGTGCTTGGTTTGGGTTACAACCCAAGTCTTGATCGAGCTGAGATTGACAACGCGGCTGTTGCACATTATAATGGCAACATGAAACCATGGCTGGAGTTGGCGATGACAAAGTGTCGAGGATACTGGACCAAGTACATTAAGTATGTTCATCCCCATCTTCGCAGCTGCAAGCTAAGTGAATGAACCTGATTAAATGGGGATTTACGTAAATACTGGAAAATTTCTCAGTCTCTCTCTTGTTCCTTGGTATCTCCATCCGACAAGCCACTTAGGTTATGTGTGGCTTGACGGGAGGAGGTATTCCCTATTTTCTTGTTACCATAATCCACATTGTTTATTCTTCTTTGTAATTCATTCATTTTTAATATTTACTCCATGATTCCTCTCCCATTGTAACAAGGTAACAACAAATTCTTTACCGTGATGACCTGTATAACTCAATACCTTATTTGTTTCAGAGCTAAGATGTCGGGACATGATTAGGATTAAATTTCTAAGATGCTGTATTCTTTGAACATTCTCGCGTAGTGTAATGTGTAAGGGACATGATATATTAATTGCTTGAATCATGAGCTTTTCAGTGTTTTAATGATCTTTCAGTTGTTGAATTTGTGTGCTAATTTCACCAAGGAGATTCATTCTCCTTTTTCAGTCATTTTTCTTCCCTTTCAGTCAAAAGAAGTACGATGCTCAGATGCCCTCTTTCTTGATGTACTGCATGTGAGAAATGCCCTGATGGCTATTCTTTTGTTTTACTTCACATTTAGGTGTTTCAGAAATTCCGGACATGTAAACTTGTCGAGGAAAATTGGTTGAAAACTGTATCTTGTTGTGGCTTCAGTGTACGGTTTGCCTGTCGTACTGTGCTGGGCATTTGATAATAAGCGAATATGTGATCCTATCACAGTGGTGGATCCGATGTCAATGACCGTTTCTTTCTTGTGTGTTGCTGAGGGGAAGAATAGAAAAATTGTGGAAATGACAAAAAGCATGCTACATGAGAAGAGATTGTCATACTATCTTTGGGGAGATGCTGTCAACACAGCAATCTATTTACTCAATAGATGTCCCATAAAGGCAGTGAAGGATAAAACACCATTTGAGGCTTAGTGGAAGAAGACCAGGAGTCAAACATCTCAAAGTCTTTGTGCTATAGTCACATCCCTGGACAATTGAGACACAAACTGCATGAATGTTCAATCAAGGGAATTTTAGTGGATATGAAAAAGCTGAAAAAGGATATAGAGTTTTTGTTCCAGAAAGATAGATCATACTTTCCAGAAGTGTTCTATTTGATGAGAATGCTATGTGGAGTTGGAATGCTAAGAGTGAAAAATCTAAAACATTTCTTGTAAGTTTGCAATTGAATGATAATATCAGTGAGATTGAAAATGCTGATAGTAGTCTGAATGCAGAACCACCACAGTTAGAAGGGAGTCGTTCTTAAGGGAATGTATTCCAAGAATTTGTAACTGAAATTGGAGAAACTAGCTCTGCAAGTACCACTACTGAAACCAAAATCACTGAGTGAAATCTATGCAAGATGCAATCTTAATATTGTTGAACCTGGAAAATATGAAGATGCTGCTACTGATGAAGCTTGGAAGAAAGTGATGAAGAGTGAAATTGAGATGATTAAAAAGAATGGAACATGGGAATTGGTTGACAGACCAACAGATAAGCTCATTGTTGGTGTAAAGTGGGTATTCAAGACAAAATTGAACCTGGATGGCACTATACAGAAGCATAAGGCAAGGCTAGTTGCCAAAGGTTATTCTCAAAAGCCAAGAGTAGATTACTATGAGACGCTTCTGTTGCTAGATTGGATACAGTAAGAACACTCATTGCACTTGTAGCTCAGAAAAGCTAGAAATTATATCAGCTCGATGTCAGGTTTGCCTTCTTGAATGGAATGTTGAATGAGGAGGTTTATGTGGACCAACATAAGGGATTCATTGTCCTAGCTTCCGAAGACAAAGTGTACAAGCTTAGAAAAGCCTTGTATGATTTAAAACAGGCTTCCAGAGCCTGGTAAAAATTAATTCCTATCTACTTGAATGTGGTTTTCAAAGGAGTCCTAATGAAGCCACTTTATACATAATCAAAGGAGGAGAATCATTAATTGTCTCAATCTATGTTGTGACATTGTGTATATTGGAAGTAGCATGGAACTGATCAATGAACAAGGCTGACATGATGAGAAAGTATGAGATGACAGATCTTAGCTTGTGGTATCATTTTCTAGGAAGGAATTGTGCAATCTGAACATGAGACCTTCATTGATCGATTCTGTATGCACTACACTCTTGGAGAAGTTTGGTCTAAAAGATTCAAACATGTGAGTATACCTCTAGCTGTGAATGAGAAACTTAAGAAGGATGATAGGAGTGAACTAGCAAATGAGGTAGTGTAAGGCAAATTGTGGGAAGTCTGTTGTATCTTACTGCAATTAGACCTGACACAATGTTTGCAGCAAGCCTGTTATCTACATTCATGCATAATCCAACCAAGAAGCATCCTGGAACTACAAAGAGTGTGCTTAGGTACATTCAACCATTGATTTTGGTATTGAGTATGAAAAAGGAAAATCAGAAATGCTTGTGGGATATTGTGATAGTGATTGGGGGAGGAGATGAAACTGATATAAAGAGTACATTCGTCTATGCCTTTACATTTGGCATGGCATTTTTTCTTTGCCATCAGTGAAGCAACATAGTGTTGTATTGTCAACTGTTGAAGCTGAGTATATTAGTGCCTTTAAGGCAACAACTCAAACAATTTGGCTAAGATTTGTACTAGAAGACTTTGGAGAAGTGCAAACTAATGCAACTCCTTTATACTGCGACAATCAGTCTGCGATAGCAATGACAAAGAATCCTGTCCTTCATCAAAGATCAAAACACATTCACAGAAGGTACCATTACATCAGAGATGCATTGCAGAACGATATAATCAATTTGGTTTTTTGTAAATCAGAAGAACAATTAGCGGACATCTTTACCAAAGCTCTACCAAAGGATAGGTTCTATATGCTCAGAAGTATGCTTGGAGTCAAATCTGCAACATTAGAAGGGAGTGTTGGAGTATAAGCTTTTTGCAGGAAGATTAGTTGCTTGGATTGATTCTGTAAAACTTAGTTGCTTGTGTTCTTAGTTTTAGTTTGAATACTCAGCTGTAATGCACGGCTGAGATTATAACATTTGAATGGCTTGTATTTTTCCACCTGTTTTTCTGTTAGAGTGTTTAAGTGAGGCATGTGCATCTCATATGGGTTTCTGCCTGATGGCTCATGTGAACTGTGTGAGATCACAACGGTTATATCTTGTCCTCTGGTAGCACACTCTATGTGTGTGTGTGTGTGAAGTAATCAAATCGATTGGAGCACTTCGTTCTACTTCTCACGTATTCATAAAATCAAAAGTTACAAAACATTAACAGCTAGTACATAAGACTTTTGATATTTGGTTCCCAAGCGAGTTCTTTGATTGGGATGTCTGGCAAGAATTTTGAGAAACTGAGGAACTCTTCTGGTGCCACAATCACAATCCTTCCTCGAAATCAGTAGGCTTTGTGTGCATCTGCCCATGAGTCCACTTGACTGGTACATGTGAGCTTGTCCAAATCTTGAACAGGTGCGTCTGCTTTTCTGTAGTGAATTTGCGTAACATTATTATCAATTTTCAATGTCGTATAGAGAAAACCCACCTCGGCAAGTGATTTCTTTTAGCCCTGCCTACAACTATACAACAAGCCTATAGCTGCACAACAATTCGATCATCCACCTCAAGTTCAACCATATTACATATGTGCCCACATTCAAGTTATTCCAGACTTTCCTTATGAAAGTAACTGAACATTACAAATGCCACATTATTATTGCGGTTCTATCAAGTTTTAAACCTTCGAGTTGGTGGGTAGTTTCGTGGTAGTGTGAGTTTGCATTTTATCACAAAAGATGTTGTCCAACTACAAAGGGTGAGCAACGGAAAGGGATCCTATCCGGATACCTTTCTTCTAATCTAACAAGTCCGGGGATCCGAGCCATTGAATTTGATCAAACGGTTAAAATTATTATAACTTTTAAAGTAGATCCGTGTTTGTAGCTGTTAGATCAAATTTTAATGGCCGAATCTCCGAACTTAGTAATTTATGAGGAAGGGATCCGGAGAGAACCCCTTTCCGTGAGCAACGACCAATATGAATTGTGAATTATAAAATCACATATAAAACAAGTAGTAGTCTTTCTTGTTATTATCATCTCTGCCACTAGTGGCCGGCCATGACTTAAAGAAGGGCTTGTGGGTCAATGCATGAGAATGACCCATTTTATAATTGTTTGCAAATTTTTCTGGAAGTAGATAGGGATGCCTGCACAGAGGCATTTGCATTGCACCTAGCAAAGACCAATTTTTTTGTTTGAGCATCGATCCACATCAATGGCTTTCGTGAGAACATCTCAAGGAACCTGCTCTGATTCCAAAAAAATTGGGGGTTATCGCTACGACGTGTTCTTGAGCTTCAGAGGCGAAGACACTCGCAAGACGTTTACTGACCACCTCTACACAGCCTTGAACAACGCAGGATTTCTCACGTTCCGAGACGACGATGGACTTGAGAGAGGAAAAGATATAAAGCCAGGACTGCAGAGAGCGATCCATCTGTCACGAACTTTTGTTGTCGTGTTTTCAGAAGATTACACATCATCCAGATGGTGCCTTGATGAGCTTGTGATGATCCTTGAACGCAAAAGGATCCTTGAACGCCAGAGGCCTCCCTTGAACCATGTAGTTTTACCAGTCTTCTACCATGTCGATCCGTCCCACGTGAAGAAGCAGACGGAAAGTATTGGAAAAGCATTTGAAAGACACGAGACATCTCAATCGCCGAAAAAGGTGAAGGAATGGCGGAAGGCACTTGCAGAGGTTGCAGATCTAGCAGGCATGGTCTTACAAAATAAAGCTGATGGGTAACTTCCATTTTCTCCATTTCTCCTCTTCTTTCTTTTGTCAAATATGATCCGTAGGGACCTGATTTATATATATATTTTTTAATTCAATCTCAGTAGTGAATAATAATTCCAATTTATGTCAACTTAAAGAAATCACACTACTCAAGGATTAGTCATTTTCCATGTTAGTCTATTGGTTTGCAGTTGCTTAGATTTTTATTAAAAGCATGGAAAAAAGTTATGTAACCTGTCTTGTATTTGTCTATAGTTCGTATAAATTATGCGCTATATTCCTTTTTTTCTTTTAATTTTGTCAGCAGTCCTCTTTTTTCCTTATTTAAATAAAGTCTATCAACATATGTTTAATCATCTAAATTCTGCAATTCATTTTTCATTTTGTTTGCAAATTCTTAGGTATGAGTCAAAGTTTATAAAAAAAATTGTTAAAGTGATAGGAGACAAGTTAAGTCGCACACCATTGAGTGTTGAACCAAAATTGGTTGGAATCCAATCTCAAGTCGAACGAATCAATTTGTGGTTACAAGATGGATCAAGTGATGTTGGTATATTTGTTCTGTATGGCATGTCTGGAATAGGGAAGACAACCATTGCAAAACATATATACAATTCTAACTACGAAAGATTTACAGGAAGCAGTTTCATTGAAAATATCAAAGAAACAGCAGTTCGAAATGGCTTAGTTCAAATACAAATGAAACTTCTTTATGATATGAACGGTAGAGAAGTGAAAATACACAGTGTTAGTGAGGGAATAAGTAAGATTGAAGGCGCCATAAGCTCTAGAAGAGTTCTGCTTGTTCTTGATGATGTGGACCAAATGGACCAATTAGATGCTGTCCCAAGGATGAAAGATCGGTTTTCTCCGGGAAGTAAGATACTTATAACAACTAGGCGTGAAAGGTTGCTAAAGGCACATCAAGTTACAAAGGTGCACCATGTTAAAACTTTGGATTACAATGAATCATTGGAGCTTTTCAGTTGGCATGCATTTGGCCAGGACCATCCCATAGAAGAATACATGGAGCATTCAAAAATGGCAGTGCAACATAGCAGCGGACTTCCATTAGCTCTAAAAATTTTGGGTTCTTCTTTGTCAGGGGAAAGTATAGGTGTATGGCAAAGTGCATTGGAGAAGTTGAAAGTTTTTCCTAATGGCGAAATCATGAATAAACTAAGAATAAGCTATGACAGTTTACAAGATAACCATGACCGGAAACTATTCCTCCACATTGCTTGTTTCCTAAAAGGAAGGAAAAAAAACTACATTGTTAGAATACTCGATGAATGTGATTTCCATACAACCATTGGCATTCATAATCTCATTGATAGATGCTTAGTGACAGTTGATGAATGCGGCTGGGTGAAGATGCATGACATGATTCGTGGCATGGGGAGAGAAATTGTTCGCCTAGAATCAGAAGAGCCTGAGAAACGTAGTAGATTATGGCGCCATAAGGATTCTCTCCAAGTATTGAGGGAAAAGAATGTAAGAAACATATGCCTTTTGTGTCTACATATGTATTTCTTCTTGTGAAAATTATCCATATTAATGTTTCCTTTTTTTTCTTTTAGGGTTCACAAACAATTCAAGGTCTTGTCCTGGATATGCGTATGCATCCTGCAAACAGTCCAATAAACACAAATGAGACAGCCTTGGAAACCAATGCATTTGAAAGGATGCACAAATTACAATTACTCCATCTTAGTCATGTACGACTAGATGGATGTTACGCAGATTTCCCTACTGGGTTAAGATGGCTGTGTTGGCTTGAATTTCCTTTGGATTCTATACCTATTGATTTTCCTTTGAAGTATCTAGTTGTTCTTGAAATGCAACATAGTAGCTTGAGACAAGTCTGCAAAGGAACAAAAGTATGTTACTCTACGTTACTTCAGTTCATTTTCCTTCTTTGCATATGTTAGAATTAACTCCTACACATATTTCTTCTTTCTTTATTTATTTTCCACAGTTTCTTCCATCTTTGAAGATCCTTGATGTCAGCCATTCTCATGGCCTCACTGAAATTGTGGACTTCTCACTTTGCCCCAGTCTAGAAGAATTGATTATTGTAGATTGCACAAGCCTAATTGATGTTCATGAATCCATTACAACCCTAGAGAGACTTGTGTACTTGAATATGAAGGATTGCAAGAATCTTAGGATGCTTCCGAAGAACATGTGCATGCTTAAATCACTTGAAACACTCATTTTATCTGGTTGCTCAAATCTTGATGAATTTCCAATGGAGATTCTGAAGAAGATGGAGTCTCTGAAAGTTATTGAAATAGATGAAATTCCATTAAGTGAATTATGGCCAGAAAGAAGTTCAAGTATCTTGGGTTCTTTTCCTTACTCTTTAGTAAAGTTAAATCTCAGTGGGTGCAACCTTTCTGATGATGCCTTTCATAGGGATTTAAGTAACCTATCCTCGTTGCGAACAATAAAGTTAAATAAGAATCCAATTCGTAGTCTGCCAGTTTTCATCAAAAGTTTGAGGAGGCTCGATCATCTCTCTTTCTTGAGCTGTGAGAGGCTCGAATCACTTGTGGGGTTACCAAAAGTACACAAAAATATGGACATACGTGGATGCATATCATTAAAAAAAATAACATATCAATCCTATGGGTTTCAGAATTTGACCGCTAATATGGAGAACTACAATCTAGTTGACTGGGCGTATTGTTACAAGTTAGAGCCTATTGATAGAGTTGATGTGGAAATGACCAAACTTTTGGGCTTGAGCAACTTGGGTTCCATGCCAGCCATTCGAATGAAGAAACCAAACACATTAGAGAATAGATGGAGTCCCGTCCAGGTGCGTCTCTCTGTCTCTGTCTCTGTCTCTGTCTCTCTCTCTCTCTCTCTCTCTGGATAGAGTCGACTAATATAGCCGTTTTCGTGCCATGCATACAGGGATTGTACCAATATGGTATATTTAGCACATTTTTTGTTGGGAATGAGGTTCCGGGCCAATTCAGCCATAAAAGTACGATGTCCTCAATATCTTTTATCATGTCTTTGCTTCCAGATCACAAAATCCGAGGCCTGAACATCTTTGCTACCTATGCAAAGGAGAAGAATTCTAATAATGGTTCTACTGACTCTGATTCTGATGTTGACAAATGTTATGAACTTGATCCAATAATGATCAAAGTGAGAAACAAGAGCAAGGGTCTAATGTGGATCTATGGCCCAATTCTCTATGGTATTCCAGGAGAGGGAGAAGATATCATATGGTTGAGCCATTGGAAAATGGAGAATGAATCAATATTACAATGTGGAGATGAAGTGCTTGTTTTAGTACTCATGAGACCTAATGTGTTTCAGCTCAAGGAGTACGGTGTCGAGCTTGTGCAAGAGCACCAAGACAAAATGAGTACACAACACAACACCACTGCAGATCTTCCTGATTATCCTTTTGTCATCGGTGGAGATTTGTCCAGGTGGGAAATTTGTCCAGGATTATACTTACTAGGTATCTCTAAAAAAATTGCTGAAAGTAAAGAAAGCTTTGACTTCTCTTGGCGTAGTTGGTTGAATCGCGTCATCATGGACTCTGATGAAGACGACACAGGTATGTTGTGTTGTTGTATTGCAATGAATTACACTTCCAGGTCCGCTCGTATTCATTTGAAAAATGTTTCCAATAAATTTTATGTTATTTGTATGTTTTTTATACAAAGAATGGCAAGAGGATGTAATTTTACTTTATACAGACATATCTTTGCATTCCCTCCTTGTTTTCAAGATGTTTTCTGCCTTCAAACTTCGGGTTCATAGCTAAGCGATGTTAACTGCTTGAGATACAGAAGCCCCTTGAAATTAGATATCAAAGTTCGAATGTGTTCAACATCATTAAATATTGCATAAAATACATCCAGCATTAGCGATACTCGAGAATTTTTCTTCCCTGCCACTAATTGCATAACCTCATACTATTATGCTCCATAAACACTTCAGTTTGTCACCGCTGGTAAATTATGCTCCATAAATTATTTGTACGTTTATCAGTCAACGAAGAAGATAAAAAAGATGAAGATACTGGTGAGGTTTTGGCAACACTTCTGAGTTTGCTTCGAATATTTTCAAAAGAAACAACTGAAATAAAATGTCGTAACTGATAACTTAGCATTTTCAAGACTTCAATTCAAACATATGGGGATTTTCTGTTATTTGCGTGTTTTTTAGATACTGAAGAAGAGCAACAGGATGATAGCGCAATTGTGGCGACCAGGGTTGCAGGCAGCAATAACTCTGCCGGTGTATATTCATCAGACAATGAAGAAGAGAAACAGGATGAAGATACAGGTGAGGTTTTTGGTGAAGCTTTTGATTTTACTCCAAATATTTTTCAAAAGAGAAAACGGAAATACAAAATGTCGCTACTGATAAGTTATCATTTTGAAAGCTCTAACATGTGGGGATATTCTGTTATTTGTATGCTTTTTAGATACAAAAGAAGAGCAACAAGATGATCAAACACTTGTAGCAACAAGGTCAGCAGGCAGCAATAACTGCGGCGTTAAAGGGTGGAAGGTGCTCATCACGGCCGCTGTCTTGTTAGTTCTCTTGTTTTTTATGTGGTATTTCTGCTCTCCATTGGCGAAACAATCGAGAGAAAAGTTCGTGGAGTTCACAGTCCCTACATGACAAGGCCGGCCCTGAGGGTAGCCGGAGTAGGTGGTCGCCTAGTGCCCCCAAGTCCGGGGGCCCCAAATTTTCTTATACATCCTGTATATAAAATATAAATAAAGAAAATGTAAGAAACATCACAATTATTTCGTTGGTGTAGTGGAAACGGTTCCACTCTGTTTTCATTGGGGTGGGCATTTTGAAACACCTTGTAGGCATTAGTTTTTGCTTTTTTCAAATCTATGAAATTAATGTCCCAATCGGCCAAATCCTTTTTTTTTTCCTTTTGCTTTTCTAAGTAACCTCCAAAAACAAACCAAAAAAAAAATTGTAGAAAGGGTGAGATTTACTCCATATGTATATCTATATATATAAATGGAGCATCCCAAAAAAGTGAAACATTTAAAATACCACTAACCTCTTTGCACACACTAACGTTTGATTCACTAGTGTGTGTTGATTTGTTTGTTAAACTAGGTTATTCTAAAATTTGATTCGCTAGTGTGTGTTGATTTTAGAAAGAACACAAGAGAACCACTTGGCGTTGTTGAATTATTATATCGTCAATCAAGTCTTATTGTTTTTTACTCTCTTGATCATCAAGTTTTATTGCTCTTCACACTCAATCTTAGACTCTTGACTGCAAACACTTAGTGCATTTGCGTCTAAAGACATGTGACATGTAATATTAAGTAAAATTAGTATATCTTTTTTCTTTTGATATTAATTTTTAATGATATTTGATGAAGAAATAGATTTTTTATGTAATTAGCGAATTCTTCTTACTACATATCAATATACAAAGAGTCGGAGGTTCGAGAATTTTAGGGCCCCACTTTGAAGACTCGCCTAGGGCCCCCAAATTCTCGAGGTCAGCCCTGCTACATGATCAGTTTCAGCTTGCTGTATTTATACATCCACCCTTATGTTCTCGCTCACTCTCTCCTTCCTTTCAATGTGTGGTTACCAACTGAATTGATATGACACAAGTAGCATTGTCAAAACAATTAATATTGTTCAAAAATGAGTTTAATTTCATGTATTCTAATATGTTTGCGATCTAAGATACTCGCAAGATTTTTACTGATCAACAATGAGTTTAATTTCATGTATTCTAATATGTTTGCAATCTAAGATACTCGCAAGATTTTTACTGATCAATTCTACACAGCCTTGGCCAACGCCGGATTTTGCACTTTCGGAGATGACGCCGAACTCGAGAAAAGAAAAGATATCAAGCCGGAACTTGGACCTTTGTCAACATTGGAAAGAGAAATACTAGTACACCAATTTTGGTATTATTTTCACCATTCATCCAAGATTAAGAAGGATACTCCACCAAGATATTCAAGAAAAAAAAAAGAATAAGGGTAATGTTTGGGAGACTAAGACCTAGTTTGGGAGTGAGGTGCTTAAAAAAAAGCACCCATGAAAAAAAGCTGTGAGGGTTTTAGGTGTTTGGTAAACTGAAAAAAAGGGCTTATTTTGGAAGCTGCTGTAAGAATAAGCTGAAATCAAAGGAAAAAGCTGAAGCTGCTATTTGCAGCTTTGGAAAACTGGCTTTTTTTCGAAGCACACGGAGCTACAATGCTTCTTTAATGAAAAGACCCACTATTAGACTGTTTTTTTTTTCCAAAAGCACTTTTACAAAAAAGTTAACCAAACACTCTGCTGATTTATTTCACAGCCGCTTATTCTCACAGTACAACCGCTTATTCTCACATCAGCTTTTTTTCAAAGCACAGCAATACCAAACCAGCCCTAAATAGAAATGAGCACGTTTATCAACGCTTGAGTAATAAACCAATCATCAACCTCCATGTCATTTAGTTTTCAAAATTTTGTCCATAAATTTAGTCTTCCCAGCACTACCCTAAGAATAATCCTATTTTTACCACATTTGTAGTAGGTAGGTGGTCTAAATATGGTATGAGGTGCTACAAATGTGATATGAAAAATGTGGTAAGATGATGTTAGACAAAAGTGTGGTGAATTTGATGTTACCATTTATTAAGAATTTATTAAAATGGTAATTATCTTATAGTTGCAGCCTGAGAGTCAAATAAATGAAAGAAGCTGCATTGCACAAGGACTATGTGTGGTTACGCATTGTGCAACTTGGTTGGTTCGCGACCATATCAACACTTAAAATTACTACTTATCAGGATTTAAGAATAAGACAGCGTGCAAAAATGGGAGATGCGATCAGGTTGAACTCTTTGATGCACGGTTTGCATTTAAGTGGAAAGAAAGATGGGATAAAGCAAGCAAATATTGATGCAATTAAATTGCAAGTTGCATTGCATGCATGGATGCATCTGAGCTAAAATAAAGGAGATGCCGCATTCTTTGGTTTGCTAGCAATGGCATATTCCAGTTTAAATTGGAATTATCATGATGATGATCTGGTGAATGTGTAACAACCCGTTCCAGAATTTACGGGACGAAAGGGATATTTTGGTAATTTCACTTGGGTTGTGAGATTTTTGTTTAAAATATTGCTAGTTGGTCTTATTTGGTGTGCCAGGTGGGGTCCACCCTTGCTTTTTGGTCCTCAGCCTATCTTCTTTGGCTACCACATGGCAGTTCTCCCCCCTTCTTCTCTCATTCTCCCCGAGTTCCCTCACTATCTCCCCCTCGGATCCTTCAGCTCTTTCTCCCCCAAAGACGCATACCCACACACCCACACCTACCAACTTTCGAACCCAAAGACCAAGACACCACCCTCAACCGTCACCCTCACTCCTTACCATTTCTCTTTCCCCTTCTCTATGAAGTACAGAGACACCAGCAATAGCGGGGCACACCCACTTCCCCTGGTGAGGTTCCATGGATTTCCCGGCCACAGTTGGGCTTAGAAATGGTATGTTTCACTTTCCCTCACTCGTAGCTTCATTTCCTTGGTTTAATCATCTTTTTGGTTGAGTATTAGAGTCGATCGGAGCTCGGAAAGCTTTGGTCTTCTCCCTCGTCGAAATTGGGTCAGACTCGACCCAAAACCTCAAATCCAACCTAGCTAATTCGAACCCAAAACCCAAACCAGGCCTTTAGGCCGTGCAAACCCAAAAACCCTTAGGCCAGCTCCGAGCTAAACCTTAAAGCCAAAGCCCGAGCCCAAACCTGGGCCTAGGCGGTTGCCTAACCCAGCCCAGATGGAGATACAACCGAGGCCTTTAGATCACTAAATCCAGCCCAGGAATCTAGGCCCAAACCCAAGTACCCCAAGCCCAACAGTGAGGCCCAACTCAGAGAACCCTCACCCTAAACCTAATTGGAAATTAAGCCCAAACCCGAGCCCAGATCCGACCCGACCCAGGTTGATACCTAGACCCCTAATCGGCGCTTGGGCACGCATAGGGCACACACGCCTTCGCCGTCGTCCACGGCAACGCCATCGACTTTTCCGGCCAACTTTCCGGTTATCCAAAATGGCGTGTACGGTGGCGTGTGGGGGTACCCGTGGTCCCCCTTTATGTTTTTCGATGTCCTGAATCCATTTATGATGTCAGTTTCCCGAAATTCAATCATTATGATATAGTTTTATTAATTGGTACCTTTATGTGCTTAGGTACAATGGTTTATGGCATTTCCGTCTTCGCTAGTTGCATGGCTCTTCAACAACGAAGTATCTGTGAGGGGATCCCTTCTAAAATGCATATTTTACTATTAGTAATGCATACATGAAAAGATGATTTAATGGTTACGTCTTATGAAACGTTTATGAGTAAATTAGATTTACACCTTATGTTATATTATCATGCTTTATCGACTTTACGTTCTTTGTGGTATATATGATTGATGACCATATACCTACTTATGAATGTGGTTTTACAATATAACGTTTTAGTTACTGATCTCTGATTTGAGATAGATAGATATCTATATATATATTTTAATATTTTTATGTGATTATTTAGTAGTTATTCAATGTCTTGCCTACGGGCGAATGTCCTGCCTACGGGTGAATGATCTGCTTCTGCCTACGGGCGTATGTCCTGCCTTCGAGCAATTATGATACCATTATTTAGCACACTATATATGATATATGTTTTATGAAAGGTTTTATAGCATGCTAGGGTTTTCGGAAAACCTATTACATATTATACTATTGAGTTTTCATAAACTTTGGGGGTTAGTACGTTGTTGAATAACTGTTTCAGTATTACTTATATATAAATTTGGTCCACTCATGTTTTGTTTTGCGCTCCCTCAGGACTTAGAATCGAGACGTGCAATCCTGGTGTCAAGGCACTCCCGCATCGACATTTTCGAGTCCTCTCGGTGTAAGACCCATCTCTTTGTTCATTCAATTTTATATTATTCCTTTTTAGTGTTTAGGATTAGTTGTATGCTCTGAACACATTCTATAATTGCATAATCATTGTATTCAAATTTATAAGTATTGTTTATATTTATTATTTCTCATGCATCCTAATATGGCTTCGTCACCTTCGGGTGTCGGCCAACACGTGCCTACCCTGGTGTTCAGTGGATATCAAGGTCTGGCGTGTCCGAATGGGTGATAAGATCTGGCACATGGTGCATGGAAATTTGAAGTTAACAACAAATCTAAATACGAGCCTTATCAAGTGACTAGTGTATCTAGTCTGAATAGAAGGAAAGTACAATTGCCAACCCTTCCCAGATATCGAGATGATGACAAAGGCTTTTGTGATAACTATCTCAGGAAAAGTGTTATGCTTTCGACTGGAACTACACGGGTTGGCTACTAAAGCACACAGTCACTATAAACACAAGAGGTCGTGCAACATGGAAAGTTCTCTCCAAACACATAAACAAATTTGCCATGTGCAGACCCTGGCTCTACGTGAAATTTCTCTTAAGAAAACACTAACCGTTCTAACCTCGTCGAGCACACCTCAATTAGTTTTAACAACACTATGTTTGACAACCGGCGACACCTTCGGTTAGTCTTAACAACATTGGAGCCGTAAAATCAGGCGACCGAGAAGTACCTTCAGTTAGTTTGAACAGCAATGCTTCGAGTTTAGCTGGTTAAAGAGTCTTTGAATCCTTATTGAAAGAGGTCACCTCATTTTCCTTCTCAGTGAAGTGAGGTGTTATATCACTCGGCACATAGAAATTCGAGTTTATTTTATGATTGGAAATTCACGAGTGCATTTTAGAGTTCAGCATTCAGACGACAGAACCACATTTACAATCAAGACACTTATCTTTTTTAGTATTTGTGTCCATACAGTCTGGTACTTGTTCGGCGTACTTATATTTGCACAAATAT